GTCCTTCAAGCTAGGGCCAACAACATCCTACAGGCAATTTCCAAATGGAGCCACAACATGAAACTGGAAATTAACTACGGCAAATGCAGCTGTGTCGTCTTCCCTAAGAATACCCCATTACGAAAAGGCCCTATTGTAAAAATGGACGGTCAACGTATTAAAAACAGCGACAGGTTTAAGTATCTGGGGGTAATCCTCGACAACAGACTTACATGGAAGCACCACATGCACTACACTTATGAGAAAGCCATCAAGGTAATGCACTCTCTTGCCTCCATCGCCCGGAACCACTGGGGATACAGCAATTCCGTCTGCCGCCTCCTGTACATTTCTGTCATAGAACCAATCCTGCTTTATGGGGCAGAGGTATGGGGCCCTTCCATCACAAAGGTGCATCTCAAAAGAAAACTTTCTTCGGCGCAGAGGCTCGCCCTGATTTTGTGCACGAAAGCCTACAAGACCGCTCCTACGGATGCGCTCTTGGCAATAGCCAAAGTCATCCCCATTGACCTCGTCATAAAAGAAAAAGTCTGGGCTTATCAGCAACTAAAACTTGCCAAGGGGACTACCACAAACCTAAAATTTAACACTGTTATGAAGAACCTTGAAGACAGCACCACCATCGATAACATCTTGAACCACCTGAACAACTTCAATTTGGACTTAAATAATCACCAGAAATTCTTACACCCTAAGACTTCTCTAGAAGAGATTTTCTCTCTGGAGGGTCCCACGGATCACACCGGCTATACCATCTACACCGACGGGTCCAAGTCTGAGGACGGGGTGGGCTGTGCCTTCGTTGTAACCAACAACAATATTAACATTCACCAAGCTCGGTTTAAACTGGCAAACCACTGCACTGTGAACCAAGCCGAGTCTCTGGCTATTTGCAGGGCTCTCCACTGGATAAACAATAATAAGGACACGCATAAGTTCAATAGGATAAACATTCTCAGTGACAGTAGAGTGGCACTTCTTCAGTTAAAGAACCTTAACACCAAGTTAAGCATCATCCAAGAAAGTGTCAACCTCCTATTGTCTATCAAGGAAGACGTCAACATACGACTTTCCTGGGTCCGGGGGCACTCGGGGATCCCGGGTAATGAGAGGGCCGACCTCTTGGCTCGCTCAGCCCCTGCGTGGGTTAACAACTACACCTTCGAGCTCACGCCTCTCACCTGGGTGAGGCACACCATCAGAAACCGCACTTGGGAAATTTGGCAAGACAGATGGAGCAAAAGCAATACAGGTAGGACTACTTTTGGCTTCATTCCGAACGTTCGGGACAGAAGCACCTACACACACTTCATCACCAATTACTGCATCACCCAACTACTCACAGGGCACGGGAACTTCCGAAGCTACCTAAGGAGGTTTCTGCACAAGACCGACGGGAAGTGCCCCTGTGAGCTAAACGAGGATGAAGACTCTGGACACATACTTTGGAACTGCCCGGACTACAATACACAAAGGCAGCGCTTGATCATCAAGGTTCAAGACAATAACGACTTATGGCCATGCAAAAGCAAAATTCTTATCAGCAACAAGCAGTACTACAATGCCTTAAAAGACTTTGCCTCAAGCATTAAGGTGCTCGACTAGGTGCTGTGGTAGGTTACCACCCCACAAGTCTTATGTGGTCTCTGTACTCGTGTAGGACTGTATTAATCACACATCATTGTTCAAATTCATAATCTATGGTTTTATAATCTATATAAGTTAATTTTTGTAATATATAATTTGTAATTTTTATAAATTTTATAAATTTTTATCTTTTGTAATCTTTTATCTTTTATAATCTTATATTTTGTGATTTTGTAATCTTATAATTTTATAACTTAGTGATTTTGTGATTTATAATTGTATAATTTGTACTTCCCGGGCATCTTAATGTAAACTGCATCACTTATTGTTACTTTTATTTGGCATTTCTACTCTCATTGTATTCGTATCTACCTTGTACAGTACATGTAACCATTTTCTCATTGCATTTATCTATGTATAACTGTATGATGTATTACCTCGAAATTCTAATATGCTAACCAAGTGTCGCGCCAACAATCCATTGTAAATTCTCATTGCTTAATTGTCCATACTGCCAATCATGTATGTATTCGTCTTATTTTTAATAAATGCGATGCAGGCGCCCATGATTCTCCCACTTACCCTACTCTATCCTATCTTACTTTTTTTTTCACCTTCGCCTTTACTCGTCAAACTTTTCCTTCCTTCTTTTTCCGGTTCTGGGGCTATACCTTTGAGTGCGGCCCATCACCACCCCCCTCACAATGTATAGACATATATTCTCACAGTATATATAGAGTGGTCTGAAAGTCAGTTAACCAATGTAAAGACGAAACAGTTGGATAAGACATTAATTTAGTCTTTATGGTGGTTAACTGACTTGGAGCCGCCCGTTATTTTTCAAACTGGCCATTGATAAAGCAGAATTAATTTTTTAAGTTAAGTTCTTTAACATCAAACAGGAAATTAATTTTCTTCTTTTTATTTTAAAACTATTTAATTTGAAATATTTATTTTAATTAAGAAAGATAAATATATAATTAAACTTCATCATTAATTTTTTCAAAGTAATGAATTTCTAACAAAAACTATTTCAAATTAATTTCGACACACGATACTTTTTCAAAACGAAAAAATAAAGTGTTTTACTTAAAGGATTTTACGGAATTTTCAAGAAACTCATTCTAATGCACTTAAGATCTTAAAAAGCATCAAAGATCCTCCTCCTCCTCCTCATCTCTTCACAGACTAATTGTAAATTTCAGTAATAAATAAATAAGAAATTACCCTTGTTTACGCTTATATCAACTGCGCATTAAATAAGGAGCGAGCCAAAAATCGGTTGACCCGTATTTTGCCTGGCGTGGACACGAAGCGAAAACCATCGGCATTTTTTATTGATTTAATTGATGGAAATTAATATTATTTTTACGACGTTTAACATTCTCCATTAAATGACCCGTTTCGGCTTAGGCGCGTGTCGATTTATATGCTAGAAAGAAAGGATGTTTTCTGCAAATTATTTGAGAATGTTTCTTCTTTTTCTTTAAATACATGACGAAGAATGATTTAGAATTACAACTAAGCTGAGCTATCGATTTGATTCCAATTTAGTTACGTGTTTTGCATACTGAAATGATCGATTTATCTTTACCAATGATCAATAATACATAGGCCTATATATATATCAAAATTTACAATAAGTTCCTGTACTTCGACAAATTTCAATTATTTTTAAAATTATTTTCACGTTTTATAAAGTGATGCACCAATGCGTAAATCGAAAATTTTCGTATCAACTTGTAAAATTTAATTTAAAAAATGTATACATTAAATTATATTTTTCACAGTGTAGAGCTTTTCTTTGTAATTATTCTTTTTATAAATATATATATGGCTATAGATCGATGTAGCTATGTTTTTTACTGTAAAGAAGGTCATTTTTTATTTTAAGAATGGTTTTATTTTTTGATTTTCTTAAAGTAGAACGGGAATAATATCCTGAGGAATGAATCTGTGAAGAATAGCCTTTACCATTTCCCTCATCTTTCCTCATTCGTTCTTTAAGATCTCTCTCGAGGATTTCCCTCATTCTTCCCGATTTCTTTTGATGCTTTTCGTTGTCCTTCTTTATTCATTCTTTAGGATCTCTCTTGTGGATTTCTCTTATTTTTCTTAATTCTTTAGGATCATTTCTTCTCTTCTTATCTTCCCGGATTCATTCTTTAGGATTCCTCTAATCCTTAGAATGCAAGCTTTTAGGATTTTCTCACTTATTCATTAATCTTCTTGCTTGTCCTTCGATAACTTAAACCATATACTTTATAATTTTTAAATTATATTATATTTTATTTATTGATTATTAAATATTCGTTATAATAATATTACACGTTACTGGTTTAATCACGCTTCATTATCATACAATTAAATGATAATTTATTCAGTTTTTTATTAGTCCTTGGAATATTTTAAATCGGGTAATTTTTAAATCATTATTCAAATTATCCATCATCTTACATGATAAAAATATATTAATATATCATTAAGAATTGTCTTAAGATCTCCACCTTAGCGATGCAATTTTTACACCTCTTCCATGTGCAGCATGAAAACACATGTTTTCCTTTGCAAATATAGGATTATGTATTGAAATAAGACAGTGGGCCACCCCTGTCGTATTTAGAACAGCATATTACTGTATACGGCTTTTGTAAAGAATACGGGCAATAAAATAAAATTTAATTTATTTAAATTGTTTATATATTAATTTTTAAATTAATTAATGCCATTAAAATTTAATTTAGTTTTCCTCTTATATGAAAATAAATTATTCGTTAAAATAATATATTTTTTACAATGAAACATTATCGAGTTATTTTTTTAATTAATATAATTAATTTGAAATTACAAAATGATTTCAATTAGTTTGATTAATTCCTTATAAATTTATGAGAAATTTAACAATATTAAATTATAAATTTGTTCCTTCGATTTATACTACAAATTAAGGTTATAATTTATTGTAATTAATTAATGTTAATGAGTCATTTTACCTACTTTATACCCTGTGAATGGGAATATTTACTAATCAGAGAAGTGGATTAGACTGTAAATTATTCAATTCTGCTAATAATTTCTCTTTTCTTATTTGAAATAAGTTAATTCTCGTGAAAATTAATAAGAAAAAAAGGGATAAATGTTTTTTCTCCTCATCTAACAATAAATTTGATTTTACATCTAGATAAATGCTCAGTTTTAACAGTAATTTCTGTTTTCTTATTTTAAATCTCGTTAAAATTGATAAAAATTGTAGTAAAAGTATTAATTCTTTTCTTTATTAAACAGTAAAATCATTGTGAAATTGTATAGTTAAGTAAATGCTGCATTTTCATAATAATTACTCAATACTAACGACAATTTCGCAGTTTTCTACTGTAAATAAATCAAATTTACGTTAAAAATTAATAAAGAAAATCAAGAAAAATGTTAATTTTTAACTTTTATGAAACAGTAAATTGAATTTTATAGTTAAATAAATGCTTCGCCTTATTCAAACATTCATAAAAAGCATCATAAATTACCTTACATCTCGTTTCTATACAAAACACGAAAGTTAACCATTATTACACTTACAAGTTTATTGCAAGTAAGATTTATGATCCTCTATTTTGTTCCTCCTCGTCTCAATTCATCGAATTTCTCTGACTTTTTTCCCTCTCCTACATTCTTTATCCATTAATAATTGTTATTCGTGTAATATATGCCATTTTCTCAATGAATCTGACATTAATTACACGAAAATCCGGTCTTATCCGGACTAAAGAAACTATTTTCCTGTATTAATATCGAATAATGAATACATTATCTACAGATTTTTATGCCGAATTATTCATTTATTAATTCTACTTTCCTGTTATCTGATTATGAAGTAATCATTTTATTGTAAGTAGGGATAAAAATATAGATACGTTCTCAGATTCTATAACTAAAATGTATATAACTTCTTAGTATATTTATAGCGCTATAACTATATATACAGCACTATATATAGGAAACTATAACTGTATTACATACCTCTACTACAGTCTTACTGTTAACTTCTATGCATACATATATAATTTTAATGATTATATCCTTAAAATTATTATTATATCTTTGTTTAAATGATTAAAAAATTTTGTAATCGAATATTTAATAAGAATATTGAGTCATTTTTTAGAAAATCATTTTAGTTATTTTAATTTTAATTTATAATATTTATTAGAATTAACTGTGTAATAATAAGGAAATTTTGTTTATTTTCCCAATCACGTTCCTCTCTCGATTTAATTATGTTGTTGTAATTATAAGATACCTAATCAGGAAGGAATTTTAGTTAACATTTCTGTTCTATCATTAAGACTCCACGTAGAGAGAGATTATTTTCATCTAGTAAGTTGTTTACACCAGAAAATACTTTTATGTTAAA